GATAAAGAAGATGTGGTATATATATACAATGGAGCGTTACTCTGCAATCAAAAAGAATGAAATCTTGCCATTTGCAACTACATGGATGGAACTAGAAGGTATTATGCTAAGCGAAATTAGTCAGAAAAAGACAAACATCGTATGACTTCACTCATATGAGGACTTTAAGACACAGAATAGATGAACATAAGGGAAGGGAAGCAAAAATAATATAAAAACAGGGAGGGGGGACAAAACAGAAGAGACTCTTAAATGTGGAGAACAAACAGAGGGTTACTGGAGGGGTTGTGGGAGGGGGGATGAGCTAAATGGGCAAGGGGCATTAAGGAATCTACTCCTGAAATCATTGTTGCACTATATGCTAATTTGGATGTAAATTTAAAAAATAAAATTAAAAGAAAAAGATAATTAATTAATTAATTAATGCTTCAAAGGTACCTCTTAGCTCAAGAGATTTGGCAAGCCAAGTCATCGTGCAGCAGCTCTAGCCTCTTCATGATTTTGATCATGTCCCCTGGCTACCTCTGTATTGTCAGACTGAAAAGGCCTTTATTTTTGGAGCCTTATGTTGATGGTTTTAATTGCCTTTCTTTGTTCCCCTCAGGCCCTGTTCTGTCCTTCTTGAGATGCGCAGATCAGAGCTGCTTATGTAACTTTACCAGTGAAGATATCCTGTGGTTCTGTGTAAAAGGAAAATTATTTTGTTTTTCTTTTAATCCCCTTCTTGAGGGTGCTCAACATTTTGTTGTCCCTTTTTTGCCACAGCAGGAAACTAGGTTTTTCTCTTCAGTTTTCTGTCCACAGGGTTTCCTCTAGCTCTTTCCTGGGCCTTAATTGAAAAGTCAGCACCCATCATCCTGCAAGGATACTTTGTAATATCTGGCCTTCCCTAAACAGATTACCTTACACATGCCCCCATTGAAGCCCATAAAACCTCCTGAGATACACCTTTCTCCCCCATCAACTTGGCATTTAACTGCCTAGAAAAGCTGAGTATTATCCCAGTACCCACTCCCAAGTAAGTCTACTGCTCACCCTTCTTCAGTGAAAAAAATGTCTGTCTCTCCTTTATATTTTTTCTCTGTCCCTCTAAACCAGTTCGTACTACATGACAAAAAAATGTTTAACTCCATAGTAATCCATGTTTAAAAATAGCCTTGATATCAAACTTAATTAGAAGCATTTAAAAAGTGAACTTAGGGGAGCCTGAGAGGCTCAGTTGGTTAAGTGTCCAACTTCAGCTAGGGTCATGATTTTGTGGTTCATGAGTTTGAGCCCCACGTCAGGCTCTGTGCTGACAGCTCAGAGCCCAGAGCCTGCTTCAGATTCTGTGTCTCCCTCTCTCTCTGCCCCTCCCCCACTCATTCTTTTTCTCTCTCTCTCTCAAAACTAAACATTAAAATTTTTTAATTAAAAAAACAAAAAATGTGAATTTAGCCCCAAAGAAAAGATCCATGGAACATGGAAGATCACATATGATTTCCCTTTACAGAAACCCCACTCTAGTGTACAGGATGCCAGCATTGATTAAAGATTCCCCCAACTTGCTTACTAAAGTACCAGACACTCATCAATTTTTAGTTCCCAGGTCCGCTTAAGCCTCATGGAGCCACACCACCAATCTACACAGTGTTCATCCAGAATAACAGGTTCAGTTTTCATTAGAGGTACAGTAATTTTCCCCTTTGATTTCTTTCAGAAGTCAAGTCTGGTCAGAGCATTATGTGAGGGCACCTCTGATTCCAAGGTGCCAGGAAGGCTTCCTGACCCAAACATCTCTCCCATTTCCCATCTATTGACTAAAATTCCTTTAACAGGAAACACACTTTTATTCTACAATTAGAAATAGGGCTTAAAATGGAATTTTGCCATGACCTCTCCTCCTAACTTTCTGCCATAGATGTCACAGAGCTTTTCCTTTTTTTTTTTTTTTTT